AAAATGAGACTGAAGTTTATAAAAAATGTATTTTTAAAAAGAATTCTACAAATTAACCTTTTTTTTTGTTAAATATAAAATTATCCTTAAAATGGTGTGTTGTCAACTTGAAATTCAATTCTCAAAATAAAATCAGGCCAAAAAGGAAAACGAACAGAAAACACAAAAAAAATAAGATTAAGTTGGAGAAATTTTCTCTAGATCAAAATATTAAACGATTTTCTTTCGTTTTCCTTATTTTTCTTTGTATACGCTCTACTTTTATTCATCTGTGCGGAAAACAATTAAAGTGACAAGGGAAATGTCAAGTACCTACCGAAATCATTACTTTCAATATTTAATGTTGTCAACATTTTACTTGCGTATATCCTTTTTTTGTTTTGTTTTGATTTTTTTTTAATATTATCTTTCGGGAGACCAGATAATGTGTGTACGGTTAAATATAATTTTTTATTTCACGTTTACAAGAAAACCAAAAAAAAAAACAAGAACTTATCTTTATTTTAAAAGTTTAAAAATCATTTATGTAAAAATATCAAAGACTTTTCCTATCATTAAAATCGTTATCGCGAAAATCGGTGAAAAAAATAATGACAGTCATAATGTTTTTTGCGATTTGTGGAAGTGTAAAATGCTTTTAAGTTCTTGCGTTTCGCTTTTTTTATTTTCGATTTTTGAATATTAAGAATCACAAACCTTTTTGCAATTCTCTTATAAAGATTTCCATTCATTATTCCTTTAAATAAATAATAAAAAAAGGATACGGAAAAGTTAATAGACATTTAATGACATTTTCAATTTCTAGGCGGGTCGTTTTATTGGAGTACAGATGGATTGCGAAAAGTAATTGAAAATGTTAAAAATATTTTTAATATCAAAATTTACATTGAATATTCTTGTTCTTGAATATGTATACAGAATTCATCGTACCTTTTTAAATTGATCTTGGAAAATTATTATGATATACATAAGCGAATATAGAGCAATCTAAAGAAAAGGACAAATGAAAAATTTTTTAAAAGTTTTACACAATCTTTTAATATCTTATAATTTTCATAGTCTTCTTCTCTGCTGCTTGTGCTTGCACTAAACTTTTAGGTTCAAAATTTACAATAAAAATTTCCAGTCAATCTATAACTTCGAAAGTATTAACGCACACACTAATTAAGTTTTTTACAAAATATTGATAAAATTATCGAAAATACGTGTTTGTAATAAAACTCAAAGCAATCATCAACTTTAGCACAGTTGTTTCGTAAATTAAGACTAAGTTAAGAAAAGTCAAAAATCCTAAGGAGTTAAAAATATGTAAATCACATAGTTGCAAGCAACTTGTTTATTTCTATCTTTTATGCATATGCAAATTTTTAAATTCCAATAGAAAATTTCGAAACTTTGGAATTTTTTACAGATCCTTACAAATTTCCAATGAAAGTTATCAATAGCTTACATTTACAACCTTAGTTTTTTTGCATCATTGAGCACGTAACACAATACATTTGAACTTCAGAAAAATGAAGCACGGCTAATAAGTAATTTTAAATAACCACTGATTTGCAAAAATGTCAATTTCTTTATCATTTTAAGAGCATATTATGTGAATGTATTACATAATTAAAATAAAAATGCTTAATTAAAGTTAAAAATAGCAAAAGCAAAACACCTTTTTCTTGGGTATCATACATGCAAGTTTTGGAGTGGACAATAAATATGTATGGAATTTTCTTTTATAATTCGATTTTCTCTCTTATAAAAATTTTCAAGGTAATCTAATGAAGAGAAATTTTGATATTTGAAAATATTTATTATTTCCCTAATGTGTGCACCTAATGTTAGATAAACGAATAAATTTATACATAGAAACGTAACGGTTAAATATTTGGAGGAGAAAAACATAAAAATTTTTCATAAATTTTTATTTCTTTTCTTATAAATCATAAAAGTGCTTTTAATTTTTGATTTTATTTAAAGGAAACTTTTTTCCATTCACAACGTTTTCCAATGATTTGCATTTTTGCATACTAAAAATCGAAATATGGTTGCTTTTATGCACAAGAAGTCGAATACATAAATTTTATTATAAAAATTTATGTACTCATACATGTGGCATAATAAAATAATCTTTTATGCAAAAGTTCTCGTTAATTTTTTTTTGTTTTTTTGCGAAAATTTTGCTGAATAAAGAAAAATAGAAATTTATTTTTCCATCATATGGTAGAAGCGGAACATTTTTCATTTTCAATATTAAACAAAAACGGATTTGGGAAATGAACATATTTCCACTTTTATTGATGTTTTAAAATCACTTTATTTAAAGAAGAAACTCATATAATATTATTTATGATTTCTGAAATAAAAACGCTAATTTGTAGTATTAAAAAAATAACACAAGAATTCTTTAATGATGCAAATATGGTACGCGTGTGTTCCACAAATTGTCTACTGAACGTCATAAGGATTACTCAACTCTTTTTGCATTGAGCAAGGAAAATATGAGTGAAAAGTTGCCAAATTTCGTTTTCAATACAATTTTTTAATGAAAAATTCAATTGTTGAATAAAGATTCAATTCGAAATTCAGGATCAAACATATGAATATATTTTCCAACAAAGCCTGTAGTAAATTCAAGTACAAAATAGGTAGCAAATTTAAAAGTATCAAGTTATGCAATAAATTGTAAGCTTAGGCATCAAATTGTAAGAAAATTAATTTTGCTAATGTTGGTATACGAACAAAGTATGAATGATAATTCTCGTTTTTTGTTTGAAGAAAAAATATGTTATAACTTAAGAAGATGTTCAAAAATTACGATTTTTGAAGTAAGACTCTGATAAAAACGAGTTTAATAATAACAACTTTATTTATTCAGTTGAGAAAACTTTTTTGAATCTCATTAAGCCCTCAGATAATTATTATTTTCGCGATAGATAATGTTGAAAATAAAGTAGGTCCTCTCCTTTCTAAAATCCTAATAAAATATTACTTTATTTCTGTTTGTCAAAAATGGTTCAAAAATTGATCAAATTCTGCCTTTGGTTAGTTCATCGATATTCCAATTTAAAAATATTTCCACAAGTCCTTTACCCTACATAAATTTTTTTACTTTTTCAACCAATTGTTCGTATATGTCGAAAATTACCAAACTTAATTAAAATGAATCTGAAACAAGTATAATTTTTTTAAGAATACCAGGCAAATAATTGAGTTATTTTCAGAACTTATGGAGTATGTAACATTTTCCTCCTCTCCTTATTCCTTAATTTGTATTTATTAAATTATAAAGTTGAATTTTTATCTTTTTAACTTTTTCTCAATATAGATAAACGAAATTAATTAATTTAATTTGAATAGCATAAAAATTTTCCATTTCTGTTTATTGCTTCCTCTATGATTAATTATAAATAATTTTTTTATTCTAGAATTGCAAAATTCCACAATGTACTTGAAAAATCAACTTTCATTAATTAAATACAAAAAGGATTTTTTTTTTTATTATTGTGTATTTAATAATATGGTTTGTATATTAAAAAATTTTGTTTACCCTCATGTGATGAATAAAGTGCTTCATTTGATATAGTAAATTGTATATAAAAGAAAAAATCAAAACTTCTGCTATTGACAATAATTCTGAAAATATTTTAGTATTTGAGTAGAGAAATTAATCATTCTGCTATAGTGTTGTTCAATGTTCGTTCGCTAAGTTGAAGGAAATTGGAAGTTTCCCCGGGATATTTTTAATAAAATTTTAATAAATTTTTATATGAATATATTTTATGTGTAAATAAAATGTGTAATCTTTCCTTCTTTTTGATTATTTAAATTCGTTGGTAAATATCAAGTCGGTTAATGTATTCTTGGTATTTTATACATTTAAGATGAGAATTTAATTAACAGAAAGTTTACAAATAATGTGAAACAACAATTATTCATGATATTGTGAAATTTTAATTAAATCTGTTGAATGGATGCTCTATGTAAGTTATGTGTCAATAAATAATCAATTTTAGTAATTGCATCGCTTTAAAATAAGTCTGGAATAAACCAGAGAAATTTCATTTTGAAACAACTTTCTTAATTTATTTGAACTGTGATAATTTACAAGTATTAGATCCCAAAGCATTACTTTCATACTCATTTAAGTCAAACGCGAAAATCCGCAGTTCGTATCCATGGTTTTTACCGCGCCATTTCTCCATATCACACGGCAATTAATAGTCAATAATTTTTCGTATTCTTAAAATTGAAATATTTATTTGAAATAAATAATCAATCGAAGCATTTTCAGTAATTTTGTTTAATATTTTTTTTGATTTTAGCTGCCAAATTGTATCAGAGCAAAAATTGTTTACTCCCAACTCGTGCAGTTTAATTTTATTATAGGTATTTATTTAAAATATAAAAATAGTGGGCCATGATTGGTGAAACTTATGTACATTTACATAATATGACACTATCAGTGATGTAAACAAATATTACACTGACAATGCAAGTGTTTTGTCTCATCAAAACCCGTTTTCTGCGGCTTTTTTTAAGCCCTCCTATTATTAACGCAGTAGTATTTGTGCCTGAATAAATTTCAATTTTTCATTCCTCTTATAATGAAGTTAAAAATTAGATTTTGAGTGTCAAATTTTGTTATATTCTTTAACCATTATGTCTTATTGTTGTTTAATCTTACAATAGAATCGTAATATTTTAATTACAATTTCAGAATATTTATTTAAAATTCATTAATTGGTGTTTTCTTAAAGAATAATATATAAGAGAAAAAATTTATTGAATTTTAATCAAAAAAGTGCATTTAATTTCTATTTCACTTTGTATGTTTTCTATTGCAAATATACGTTCTATATACAAAAATATTAAAAATGTAACATTTAAGTTTTATGTTCAATTTAATATGCAAACAAATTTTACCTTATTATTAGAATTATATTTACATTAAATCTAAATTATTCTTAAGAAATTCAAAGAAACTTAACCTTTTCTTTTCACGAACAATAATGGGAAATAAATCAAAATTTACAAAATAAAAATAAAAAATTCAAATTCTCTCATTCTATTTTCCTATCAATAATTTCAAATTTTCTATAACACAACCGGAAATTTAATCATCAGAAGAAAAAAATTCTAACCATGGTCCCATAAAGCATGTTCCCTGCTATTATTATTTACATATACAACATTATATACATACATTTACATATACAAATAGCTTATTTCATGTTCATTAGATATTGCATTTATCGCATATATCAAAATATTAAAGACTTGCTATAATACACTATGAATTATTTCCATTTTGTTGTATAACATTGCATGTATAACAGTTAAAGTTGACATGTTGCAATATTCATATTAATATTAATATTACTTGTATTGTTATTGTCATCTTCACATCTTCGAACTTGTTATGCATTTATATAATAACCACGTTCTCTTTTCTTATTCTGACATTTTTCATATAATATATAACAAAGTGCTGCTGTTATAAGAACAGCAATTGTTACTGCCATACCAATACTTATCCACATTAATTCACTATTGACATCTTTGTAAGATCGACCTGTAATGTAAAAAGAAAAGAATAAGTATATTATAATGTATATAAGTTTACAAACACGAATAAAACATCATTAATTATTTTATTATAAAAAAGGATATGTGAAAATGGTCTTCTATATAAGAGAAAGTGTTGATAGTTGGTGTTGACATATAAGATTTAATATGGTGTTAAAGTGTTAAGGAGACTTACATTTTTTTTTCAAATTTATAGGTGACTTGCAAAATATTTTACGATTTTATTACTTAATAATAAATCGACTTCAGAGCTGATAAATTTTAAAGAAATACAAAGGATTTTTAAATTAATTTTCATGGATACAAGATAGTTTCTCTGGCAAATTTTCAATACTTTATTCAAAGTATCGAAATTTCAAAAATTTAATTTGTCTTTATGATGTGAATCACTTTAAGGACTAAGAGTTATGAAATTTAAATATCAATCTTATTGTATTTACAAAATTAATTTTATTTGTAAAAAATTTCCCTCTATATCGGAATCAGTCATAATTCTGCTGAAATTCAAATTGATTTAACCCAATGAATTTTATAAATTGAACATTAAATGAATAATTTATTAATTGACATAATCAATTCAGATTACATAGCAAATAATATAAAAATGTAATCAAATTACAATTATGTAATTAAAATGAAAAATTGATAAAACTTTTTTGTTGTTCTACAACTTTGCTGAAGTGGTTTTTAGTTGCAATTCCAAAAGGACAATCGAAATTTTGAAAATTCTGTTGTTATTAAATTTGTTTTATGATTAAATGTATAAGAGTTCATAAATTTATTAAAAGTATAATATAATGCTCAATATTGGCGAATTTATGTATAAATAAATAGCACCATATAATACGAATTATTTCAATGCATTGCTATTGAGGGAGGAGGCCATATAAACAATAGATGGCTATCACCGTATGCTAAGAAGAAGACTGATCAAAATAAACTCAACTCATTCAAAATAAAATAGACTGTCTGAATCTGAATAAAATAGAAATGGAAGCAAAATTTGCCAACTAATCTACTGTAGCTGCTAGTTGTTGAACTCCTTCACGATATTCTAGAGCCTCTATAGGGAAATTCAGATAACTAAAAAATGCTCCTAGAATGTGTCGCTTCTTTTTCATTAGAAACTGCCGCTCACAATAAATAATGTTTTTTCTTTATATTTTGAAAGTATTTTTAAAAATTATAAGGTCAATTTTACCTTTTCAACTATGAACAAAAAAAATAAACCGGAGTAGCTATACGGAATTTTTTAGTACTTATGTTTAATGGCCTTCTATTTTTTTCCATCAAACAAAATCCATAAAAATTTACGCATCCAACTTTTGTTAATTTTTTTTTTCTGATTAAACAAAATCCATGAAAACTTCTGGATATGTAAAAGCTGCATATTTCTGGGGGCACTTCTATAAGTAACGTAATAAAATAACCATCATAATTTATAAAATAACAAGTATAAAAGCCCGAAAAATAACCGTTTATAATCTTGAATTTCTTACATAATTTCGTTATTATTATTGAAGCAAAAATATCCTTAATTTTTATTATGTAAATTTCTACTATGCACTTGTAGTACATAACTACGTCTATTGTTATAAAATAGTTAATAAAAATTGCATTTAATTATAAGCTATGAATTAGTATGGTACTTTCAACTTTCGTTGTTAAAGAGAACTTGCAAAATATAATTAACTTTATTTACTTTACTTTTTTTTCTCCTAGTGCTTCTTATGCAATTAAATGAGAAGAGAAAACAATTGAAAAGGATGTTCCTTGAATATAGAAAAGTTGGTTCTTTTTTGTAAGATTTAAATTAATTTTGTTTTAAAATTTTATTATTGTTTCGAGCTTTATCTTTACCATAACAATAAAATCGTGATTCAATTCTTGAAATTCTTTTTTGACGGTTCTGCTTCGTAGTTTATAGATTCTACTTCAAATTTCAAATTAAAAAATTAAACATTTTTTGTTGACCTTTGTTATACCCTTATATACAAAAAAAAATTCAATGTGTAATATTTTTAACAATTCATTTGAGATTTTTTAAAGAATTCACCTTGCAAATTAAATGGCTCTTAACTTACATGAAAATGAATTTATGGATTTGTAGTCAGAAGTTTCTGGATTTTAAGTTTTGGTTAAAATCAACGTTCAGAAATAAGTTGATCGAAGTAAATTAAGCGGTAGAACTTTATTTTCAAATATTTCCACAATTTTGGGGGAAAATGCTCGTTTTCATTTAGTTATACTGTTTATGTTCGGCTACAGCTTCAAATCATAAAAAAAATATTGAAAGAAAAGTACTAAACAAGATACAGAGAGTCCTAAATGCAATTTATTTGAGTAATACCACAGAATAAAAGGCGTGAAACGCGAACTAATAAAAAAAAATTACAAATAAAAATTAACAAATCATATAGTCCCGGAATAGAACTTTCAAAAATGGGCCGAAAATTTAAATCCTTCTTTAGTAACCTTATATTATAAAGAGTAGAAAATGGATGAAATGAGATTATTTTTCACTAAAAGATGCTTATAATAATTTAAGCGAAGCCCAACTCCAGCTATAAGTAAAGCATCAGTTACTAAGTTACTAAATATTCAAATGAACTTTATAAATTTTTTATAAAAATTTCAGTAAAAACAGAGCAATCTACTAATTTTTTTTTGTTTTAATTTCTTAAAAATTCTTTTTAAAAATTACAACCTCCATCAATATTATAAATTCTATTCAAAGTAAAATATTAATGATTGACTTGGTTAATAAAATGCTGCTGTCCTTTCCATTCATCCTTTAATTTTTCTATTTTGTCTTTGTTTTTATTTTGGAAAAAAAATGGTTCTTAAATGGAGCAATTTATTATTTGGCATTGACCAAAAATGTAATGAATTTCTTAATTATTTTTGTTCTGCTTTATATTGTTCGTATATTTCTTTGGCTTAAAGTTCAATAGCCTTTCATTATTTATAATGTTGTCTTTATAAATAATTTATGCATAAAAATTTCCATTGTTTAATGAGAAAAAAAATCTCTTAAAATTGATGAATAATGAAGCTTTTTAAATAATTTTTCTTTTACGTACAGTAACGTAACAAAACATTGGAATACATTCTAGTTCCTAAATCAGGATGTGAATTTGAATTTGAGAAGCTCAATTTTCGCGTAATTTATTCTATCAGTTATTTATTATAAAACTCGTTGCTGGTAGTTTTTAAGCAATTTTGACAAGCTTCTAAAATCCTGGATGCAATTCATGTAATAATTTCAATTAATGAACTTCAAATTGATATTAATGTTTTATATCTCGATCTTATAGTATAATTTAATTTAAAAATAATAAATTGCATATATCGTAAAAATTATTATTTATTTATTGATATTAAATTTCATTTTAAGGCATAATTTATACATAATTAATAATGTGCATTAAATAATGGTTCAAAAGTGACGATAATATTAAAATTTATCATTTTCATTTAATTAATTTAATTTTTAATTGTTTTATACCTGTTCTTTAATTAAAATTGAAATAGAGAAGATAAATTGCATCCTATATCCTTATACCATTGCAAATTTAATTAAATTAAATGCATATACTCTTATGACTCTTACTTCTGAAATATAAACTTTGTTATACGATATAAATACCTAATCAGTAGTATATTGGGATGTGTTTTCAATGTAATTTTAACAATGACAATAAATATCATCTAAAACTGATGTTAATCAATTATGAAGCAGTTGATTTATTTCATAGGAATTTTCAGTGTTCGTCTTTGTCTCATAAATTCTATCAAATTTATCACACATATCGGAATATATGGCGTATTAACGGACATTCGGTATATATAACAGTTTACGAGTATGTATAAGATTGTAATTGAATACAATTTGTAAACAGAGTTGTATTTACACTGTTTTGTGCTTTAGGCTGCGAAACTTAATTTCTAAAATGAAATATGAAGAAATGTGAATATACAAATATTGATTCAAAAGGACTCGCAACCAATTAAGTAGTGCAATTTCTTAGGGAACTCACTGACAAAATTAGATGTGTGCGGAACACTTAACCACGAGGCCTTTAATAAATGTTTGTCATTCATAACTTAGAGAACAAAGTCGCTCTTTGGTATTTATTAGAAATTTCAATCAAAATGATAAAGAAAAACGTTCAAGCAAATTCAGGTTTAATTTCGTAAATTCCTAAATTTTTAAAATCAATAGTAGTTATAAGAGTAGAATAGTTATCTCCATTTCAATATTGCTCTACTTGCATAATGTCAGTAAGAGCTTTTCGATAAATGCTATAATATGTCGACGATTTAGTAAATTTTTATTCTTATCATCATCTTATCCTCATATTTCTTCATTTTAACAAAAATCTTATATATTTTTCAGCATCTTGACCAAGCCTAACAATGGAATTGTGCCTGTTAATAAATGAAATCCGGCACTGTTTATAGGTGACAGCTGCGATATTTTTTAAAGTAATCAATTGTTGTCTATAAAAAATAAAATGAAATATCATCATTAATTTCATCTTCACATCAATTAATTTCCAGAAAAATGCATTTTGCCAGGAGACTATTATACTATCTATGATACTGTTAAAACCTTCAACGCAACAAATTTCAACTTAGTTTACAAAATTTTCATTTTAAATATCCTTTGAAATATTGTTAATAATTTATACAAAGATTTTTATGATTCACTCTTTACATAAACATGTGCACGTTTTACTCATTGTGTAGAAAACCAACACGTACGTTTATACATAATTATGTAGGTGTATTTAATTATAAGGCTTATACTTTTTGTATATACAGAATACATATAATACTTTTATTGATGCTCTTAAATTTAAATCCATTAAAGAGATTTATTTATCTGGTCTATACAAGTATCTTAAGAACCCACTTAACAAAACTATAAAATGTACATTATTTTATACACAAGAAAATAAATAATTGATTGAATGATGATAA